TGCACAGGACTGATGGCCCCTCCTCAAGACGCAGAGACTCTCCGGGCCTCAGCAGTGTGCTTTTCCAGTTCAGGCACTCAGCTGGACGTCCCCCTTCTGCTCCTTCCTGGCCAGTCACTCTGTCCCTGTACTGCAGGAGGGTGAAATGTCTGGCGGAGACTCAACACGAAGCTGGAGCTGCACTACCCACAGCTGGAAACCCTCAAACTGCCCCCCTCCTACCCTCAAACCAGCCAGAGCTTGTGGGCATTTCAAAGCGCCAGAGCTCAGCAATGATAACAGTAACTACAACAACAAGGTGTTCCTAGTGCCAACCACGTGCCAAATGCTTTGTGTACATTATCTTTAATCTTCACCACAACCTGCAAAGCAGGCATTCTTATCATCACTTTGCAGATGAGGACACTGAGGCCAAGCAAGACACAGGATTTGTCCTGGCTCATCCCTGTGATAAGTGGCAGAGGCAGGATTTGAATCCAGGTCTATGTGGCCCCATAGTGGTCCACCCAAACCACACACGTCTACCCCAAGTCACCCAGTATGTGGGCCTTGGTCAAATCTTCATCCAGCACATGCTATGCCTTGGTTCTTCGAGGGCCTCCAGGGCACATCCATTGGAGCTGTGCTCGGACCCCTGCTGCTAGCTTCCCCTGCTCTGTCCTCACCGTCTAATCCTGGGTCTGGAAACCGCAGTGTGCAGCCATGAGCTGACTTTCAAAGAACCCAGTTAAAGAGGAAGATGAACAAGCCAGCCTCCTCCCTCCCTGCTGACTCCTGCTGACTGTGTAGCCTCCAGCAGGAGCAGGCGTAGCCATGGTGACGGTGGCTCTGCTGACAGCCAGGGAGAGGGCGAGTGTGGGAGAGGAGGCGAGGAGGGGGCACTCTCAAGGGGCTGGCAGACAGTTGCTATGAACATGCTTCTGGGAGGGGCACCTGTGAGGGGACGCCCCCAGCCCAGGAACCTGGATATGCCCAGGTGCCACCACCTGCCTGCCCAGCCCCCTCCCCTGACTCATCGTAGATGGGTGACTCATCACACCTGGGGTGTGACAAAGCAGAGGCAGAAGGGAAGCCTCCTGCGAGGCTCTAGGTGGGTGCAGCGTCAGGAAGGCAGTGCTCAGGGCAGGTGGACACCGAGGGCCACCTACTGCCACTGTGCCTGGCCCTGCCTCAACCTCGACATTTCCTTGCCCACGTCCCGGCTCCATGGCTGAGCCTCAGGGAGATGGCTGGAGAGGCCCCTGGCCGCTGCTATCACTGTGTCCTGAAGGTCGCTCCTGCAGCAGCTTTCACAGGCCGCCTAGAGTTCCCAGCACAGAAATGGGCCGGATCACGGTCCAGGCGGCCCACACTCTGCAGGCCTCCCTCCAGTCCTGTCTCCGGCTTCCTTCCCCTTCACTCTGGGCTGCACTAGCGGTCATCATGTCCTCCACAGCTCTGTCCTGGGGGCATCGCATGTGCCCTTGCCCCTGCCGGGGACGCCAGGCACTCAGCCCCACCTTGGGCCCCGTATCAGCCCACACATCATGTTATCAGGAACCTGGTCTGGCTCCCAGGCCCACCAGGAACCCAGACCTCTGCTTCCTCACTGTTGCTGAGTCTCGGTAGGATGCCTCACCCTACTATGCCTGAGGGTCAGGAGGCCGGGGGGCCAACCTTTCCTCTCCCCTAGAGTCCCTGCAGCTTGCACAATGCATGGCAGGAGATCTTCAAGCAATAGAGAGAGAGGGAGAGAGGGAGGAATCCATTTGCCCTGATTGGGAAAGTATTGATCAAGGCAGAAACCACAGAAGTTTTCACCTCACTGGCTGTTCCTCCACTGGACCCAGGATGATGGTAAAAATACTGAGACAAAAAACTACTTGTCTTACTCTCAAAAATGTGTTTTGTTTTGTTTCTTGTACCAGGAATCAAAGTCAGGATCTTGTGCTTGCCAGACAGGCGCTTCAGCTGCTGAGCTACAGCCCGACCCAAGGCCGCTTGTCTTACTCTCATAAATGGGCTTCCTGAAGACAGGAGCAGCTAACGCCTCCAGCATCCAAAGAAGTGTTCCCTGAGTCCCTGCGCTGGCTTGAGGGACCGTCACCTGGAGCACACCGTGGAGCACTTGCCTATTTTCTCTCCGCCCCCAGCCCTTGGTTTGGGACTTCTTAAGAACTTCCTCCAAGTCCTAAAAGCCACAGGTGGCCCTCGGTCAAGCTCCACCTGAAGGCACCTGATCTTCCAGCTGCAGGGGGAGGTAGTCCTTCCCTAAAAGTGTGGAGAGCCCTGGTAGTCCTGCACCCCCAAGCCCAACTCCTTGTATCAGACCCAGGGAGTGAGTCAGCCCTGCTGATAAAGCTGGCTAAGATAGGAGGAAGGCTGTTTGCAGGCCTGCCCTGTACTACCAGGCAGAGCCCCTGTGTGGAGGCCAAAGAGCATCCTAGGAAAAGGGGGAGTCCTAAGAGAGAGAACAGTGGAGGCAGAGCACCCCAACTGCTTCCCAGGGGCAGGGATGTCCACAGCTCCTGGGTCAGCTCTGCCCAGAGCGCAGGGAGAGAGGAAGGGCGTCCACATGCCCAGCGCCAACTGCTTGCTTCAGCTGCAGAAGAGTCACCTAAAGGCCAATTCAGGCCATCTGAGGTCCCTTGAATCCTAACAAACATGGCTGTAATTAATTGGTAGATGAAATATCATCTTTCCTCTCATAACTTTGAGGTTTGAGAGCTGAGTTTTAATTCTAGAATTTTCTGACTTTCCACCTCTACAAAATAGTCTGTCTCTGGGCTTACTGCGTGGTGTGCGGTTCCCAGAAGGAAGACGCCCCTGCCCCCCTTGGTCCCACCTGCCATACGGGCGGGCAGGTTATGGCAGGGACTTGGGATGGCTCACATGCTCTGACAGAAGGCTGATCTGGGCAGTGGGGCACTCAGCCCTCTGCCCAGAGTTGGGCACCCTGAGTGCTCCAGCCTGAAACCCACACAAGTGCATCTGTGTGGAGCCTTCTTGAGAGAAACCAGCTGTGGCTCAGGGCAGGTAAGGGGTGGGCCCCAGGGCCAAACATGCAGCAGCCCACCTGCCCACATCTCCTACCCTGCAAAAGCCCACAGAGGAGCTGTCACATGGCACCAAAAGCCAGCCTCAGGTTTTGTCCTCCTAGCAATGTTCTAAAGCCAGACGCCATGCAGTTAAGCTGTGTGAGAAAGAGGGTAAAGTTGGGCTGAGTTTCTTTGTTCTTATCCCAGACCAGGGAAGGGCCCCTGGAGTCACAGGTACCCATCACCCAGAGTGAGTAAAGGATGCACCAGGTTGCCAGCACCATGATGCAAGTAAACAGAAAATGCATCTTGGGGAAGGACACAAGCTCCAGCCCAGGTTAAGAAAAAAGGCACCACTGCCTGACTTGGGGTCCCTCAGCTCTGGCTTCCACAGAACTGCTAGGGCCAAGCTGGGGGGGGGGTGGCAGTTGGGGAGGCAAGGAACAAGAGGCTGAAGCTCCTGGGGCCTGAGCCACTACTGTCAGAAAGGCAGAGCTGCAAGAAGGAGGTGCACGCCACTGAGGCCGCTGGGCATGGGATGGATTCGGCTCCGAAATCTAAGAGGAATTCCCATGTCTCTTTCCATCACTGCTGAGATTCAAGGACTTGGGCTGACAGTCCTTGGGGGAAGTGGGGAAGGACAGAGGGGCAGCAGGACGGCCTCACTGGACCCTTCAGGGGTTCCCCATTGCATATGTGGCACCCACATTGCAAATACAAACCCAAGGTGCGGCTCACCCAAGCTTGAACCATAGCCCATCTGCTTACTGGAGCATATGTTGGGCAGATGCCTAAGCCTTAGTTTCTGAATTAAAAACACAGAATCCTAGTGCCCACCTACCATGCTTGCTGATCAGAGTGTTTGCATTAGCTATCTATTGCTGTGTAATGAGTCACTCTAAATTTAGTGCCTTAAGGCAATTATTATCCTATAGATTCTTCTAGTGAGTACATCAGAAGTGATGCACAGTTCCTTCTAGGTTAGGCTATGCGCTGGCAGTCAAATGTCAGGAATTGACACAGCTTAGGTGGCCTCTTCTGGTGCCATTCCCATCAAAAGATTGCAATCATGTGGAGAAAGGCATATCCCAGCTCCCTCTCTGGGTCTGGGCCGGCCTTAGACCTTTACTGTATCACCCTGCTCTGCACAGGACTTCCTGGCCACTTGACAGCTGGCTTTCCTCCTGTGACACGACCCACAAGAATACAAGCAGAGGAAGTGCCCAAGGAGGAAGCTGTAGTCTCAGGAGGGATAACCCATCAATTCCCTACTCTCCATTTGTTAGAAGTGAGTTAATAAATCCAGCTCATACTCAAGGAAGGATTGGTATGAGGTGAGAAGCCCGGGAGGCAGAGGTCTCAGGAACCACCTTAGAGAATTCCCTCCACCATGTTTAATTAATATTGCCTACTTTCATTATTCCACTTTTAAAAATTCTTATTCCCCAAATTATTCCCCATTAGAGCCACTACGGGTTTCCACTTGTGTGTTGCAGCTGCTGTTTCTTCTACCAGGAATGCCTCTGACAACTCTTTCCACTCCCTCTCTCACCCATGCAAGGCTGGACTCCCTTGAAGCCTGTGCAAATCAGCCCTGAAACAATCATTTCTGCCTCTGATACCCAATAAGTATGCGCTGATAAACAGGCTATTGGGTTTAGGCATCCCAGATCAACGAGCCTCCAGCTCCATTAGATTATTGCAGGATCTGCTTTTACGGTTCTGCTTGCATTGGGCCCGTGAGCCCCTCCCCACTTGCCAATCCTTAGGACTAGGGTTCTCTCATAATGGTGACATGGATCAGTCAGTGAGGGTTCTTTTGAAGGTTGGGCTCCAAAAGACTAACATGCAAGCAAGAACCATCTATCTGATGCAGAGATAAAACATTTGGGAGAGAAATATGTGGGTGTTCATGCTACTGTGCATTCTTTTGTGGATTTAAAAGTTTTATTTTCAAATAAAATCTTAAGATCTAAACAGGGCCTTACTCCACATGAGAATACTGTTTTCTTGTGAGACTCATCTCTCAACATGACGAATTACTATAGGGTGTCCGCAGGCTTCTGGGAAACTAGAGAAGAGACAGGCAGTGGGCTAAATATGAATGTGGAGTCGTGGGCCCAAATGAAGCGATCAGCCGTGGTCTTAGAGGCAGGATATCAAGTCCCTTCAGGAGGAAAACTATGAGAAACACACATGCATTATCCACCTAAGGTACGCAGGACATGGAACTGAACACGCATGAGCTCACTGGGTGCACGGGAGTGTCCAGTAAGGACGGAGGTGTTAGCATGCTTCTGGACAGAGACTGAAGCTCTGTGGTGTAAAGTGGCTGCCCCAGGTCATGCCACCAGCAGAATAGAGCACGGCTTGACTCCATGGTCCTCTTACAAATGACTGTGGAAGAACAAAGGGAAAGGCAGGGTCATGAGCCAAGCTAACTAAAGTACCTCCAAAAATAGCTAGTACAGACCAAGTATGAAGTTATGTTTAATTCCCCAAGATCCTCCTGAGCCAGATTTCAGCAAGGCTTTGCTTATTGTTCCTGAGCTGCATAATAAGCCAATCTTGTAGAGTGACAATTTGGGAGAAAGGGCAGAAAAGAATATTGCTTCTTTAAAAAAAAAAAAATGTAACAGCCCATTTTGTGCTACTGCAACAAAACAGCTGAGTCCAGGCAATTTACAAGGAACAGAGATTTACTCCTCACCATTGAGGAGGCTGAGCGGTCCCAGGGCAAGTGGCCTGCCTCTGGCAAGGACCTTCTTCCTGATACATCCTCTCATGTTGGAAGGCAGACAGGAGAGAGGGCAGGGGAGGAGGCAGAAAGAGAGGAGGCCACACTCACCATGAGTGAACCGCACTCATGGGAGTGATTCATCAGGAACCCACTCCCATGACCATGGGATCAAAGCAGTCATGAGGGCGAAGCTCTCATGGCCTCGTCACTGTTCCAAGGGTCCCACCACTCAGCAGTGTTGTAGTGGGGATTGAGTTCCAGCACACAGGACACATCCATACCATAGCAAGGATGCTAGTAGGACTAATGAACCACAAGACCTGCCCCCAATTACTAGTCCCTCCTTTTAACAGAAGACACCTATTAAAATGATCCCATGTATAACCAGAAAGTTAGCAGGACAGAGAAACCTAAATCCCAGTTTCTATCCTTATGTGAACCATCTCCCTCATGCCTCACTGGTTCTATGCTGGCTTTCTGTTCTTTTACTGTAACAGAAAATGCGCCCCCCCCCAAGCCAGTATACTTCAGTTTCTTAGTTGCCCTGGTAACAGTTCCTGTTCCAGAGCCAGTTGTTTCTGTCTTGTAGAAACAGCTGGTCACTGTGATGTACATCGTATAAATCAATCCCCTACTGACAAGCTATTCTGTCTCTGTCCTTCCTGCTTGCTTATCCCTTAAAGCCCTAGCCCACCAGAGATCAGGGCCTGATACTCTGGGAACAATCCCTATCAGCGCCTGTTGATGTAAAAAAATCTGCCTTCAACTCCTGAGTGTCCTTTCAGTTTTTCTGTTTGCCATTATGTTACTCTCAGCTGTTCTTTCCTGTCTCAAGAGATGTTTTACAAGGGAACAAAAGGCCCAAGCCAGGAATCTGAACTGCTTCAAGGCTGCTTGGTAGAAAGATGGACCCAAAATTGTTGGGCCCCTTTCAGCTTGCCCTACCTTGGTACCATGGGATAGGTTGAAATTGCCATTGAGCCTTTGGGGGTGGCCTTGGTTGCAGAGGGGCACAGAGGGGCACGGAGGGCTAGAAGAGCCCTGTCAGACAAGACGGTAGCATTTGTCTTAAGATTCTCTCAGCGCATATTGGGTTGGCACAAATGCTCCGCCAAGCGCTGGGCTAATGGGTACAATGGGGACCAGAAAGGGAACCTCAGATCTTTCCCTCAAGGGATTTAGAAGTCAGCTGGGAAGATATAATGGGCACACACTGTTTAAAAATAAAACAACATGTTATAATGGCATTCGAAAATTAAATCAAATCGCTGTTCATCAAAAAGGAAGACGCCTAAAGGACATTAAGTTCTGTACGATAAGCCAGTCACATCAGACAGCTAACCGTGAGACTCCACTTGCACAATCCCTGGACTGGACAAACTGATATGCACAGCTGACTCACAGTGATTCCCTGGGATGAGGTGAGGGTGGGGAGTCGCGGCTGAGCAGACACAGAATTGCCACGTTCCAAGACGAGAAAGTTCTCCTTCTCCGCGGCCCAGTCACGGAAGTAGACTCGGCAGTGCTCCGCTTAGAAAGGGTGAAGATGATACATTTTATGTTCTGTGCACTTTACCACGAGTAAACATTTTAAAAATATTTTCATGAAAAAAAAATGTCAACCCAGAGAAGGTGAAGCAGTTATGCCTCTAGCTGGGGCTAGCAAAGAAGGCTTGTGGGAGGACGATGCTTTCTACTGAGCCCTGTAGAACAGATCGCTACAGCGGGGCAGAAGAGGGCATCCCAGCACACAGAGCTGCACAGCAGAGGCACCTTGTTTAAAAATCCAGATATTTTCCTCTTGCTTTGCGCTGACCCTGAGCAGGAATCAGCTTTGCAACAATCCAGCAGCCGGCACGGTTTTGTGGCTTGGCTAAAATACCTCGGCACGCAGGGTTCTCCCGCCTTCAGCCTCTTCATCTGTCCCCTCTCTCCCTGGCTTCTTCCTGCCTCCTGCTCTTTCTCTGGTGCCTTTTGAGTCTTCTAAACTGAGATCCTGACAAAGCTTTGCTTTCATCCCAAAGGCAGCCTTCCTCAAGGTCTCTTTAGAAGACTTCACCCCTTTATGAACACACCTTGCTTCACTCTCCCTTTTTATCCCCAGAATCCAGAAGCTTAAGAAGAAATTACCTCATCACCCACAAGAGGCCAGACCCAGCTACATAATCTGTGCTGAACACCCCATCACCAGCTCGCCCTGACACCTGCATCTTTGCCCCTCAGCCTCAGGTCCTGGAGCAAAGGGAAGAAATTCCAACTTATGCCTGGTTTGGGGTGGTGGTGGAAAGAAGTGAGAGGAGGGTGGGCTCTGCAGCGGGGCTGATGGCCTTTGGCAGCGCGATTACTGTCAGAACGTGTTATCCTCCTAGTCTGTAGGGGGACTTGAGACCACACCCTGGCTCTGTCTGCTGAGCACAGAGGCCAGGCAGAGGGAGCGCCCGTCACGCAAGGTCACAGGAAAAGAGCCGCACTGTCTGCACATCCCGAAGTACTGGCTGCCCCCAGCACCCATGCAGACCCAGGGCCCGGCTGACAGCCGGTGGGGCTGACCACTTGGGAATCAGGGATGCAGTGTAACCCAGGGACCACAGTCCTCCCTGCATTTGCATTCAACTGTATCTTACACCATAGCAACCAAGTCTCAGTTACGCAGAGCCTTGGGTATTCTCTTGCCAAGCCCAGCGCAATGCAGTAACCCTCGGCAAGCCCCTCGGTGGCTCTAGCCTGCTCCAATAATCGTGCATCTTTCCCAAGGGGAAGAAGCTCTCATTTTGTGAGTGAAGTTAACTATTAGGAGATTTTTTTTCTTAGACTAAATGACAGTGAAACTTACTTACTGGTTTCCATTACACGGGAACGCCTGGCATAGGTGTTCGCCATACCAACATTGAGTCTGGCTGCCCGGCAGAATGAATGAGTGATTATATGGGGGGTGGAGGGGGTTCCGGCAAGGGAGCTAGGGCAAGTGACGCTGGGTCGGGGCAGCGGGAGGGAAGGGTGAGACCCTCTCCGGGAGTATTTTGTTCCAGGGAGTGTCACCATTTCTTAAGCAGACCAACAGTAAGTAAATCAACACGCCCAAGATCCAATTCATCAGTAAATCAGATTTGACAAATAAATGCGTTTGTGAAACGAAGTTTCGATTTGCTTAAAGGCTGCTAGAGATAAATAAGTACTGCCTATTTTCTCAAGTTGCTTTCTCAAGACTCTCTCTCTCTCTCTCTCTCTCTCTCTCTCTCTCTCTGGCTCGCTCACACACACACACACACACACACACACACACACACACACACACACACTCCGGAGGTTATAGACCATCCTTCCCTGACTTCCTGAGCGTGAGCTAGCTAGGTGAGCCGGCTGACACGCCCTCCTCTTGCTCCGCCTCTCACCCGCAAACAGCTGCCCCTGCCAGTTAGAGCGGCACAGGCCCTCCCTGCCCCCTCCTGCCCCCTCCCACACACCGCTCCGCTCCTCCAGGCAGCAGGCAGCAGGCAGCAGCACACAGGCACGGCAGAGCGTTAGAGCATTCTCTTTCTTTGCGGCGTGGGCGGGTTGGTGGGGGGAGAATTCCCAGGGTGCAAGCTGCAAGTGCTCCCCTCTGCTCCGGCGGCGGGGACAGCGCAGATAGCTGGAGCAGCGCTGCAGCCCTTCACCTGGCCCTGGGCGTGGCTGCCCTAGTCAGGTGTTTCCTTTTCCTCTGCCCTTCTCACCCCCTGCACAGAATCAGAAAGCTTCCCATCGTCCATCTACATGGCATACTCACTCCTGCACAGAAGGAGAGGGGACCTGGCCACGTGTCCGGGGGCTCGGCTTTCCCCGTGGGAACCCACTGTCTTCCAGTCCTGCTGGAAGCCACTGTCCAGCGGCCAGCAGATTAGCAAAAGTGAGAGGCTGCTGCGGGAAATGCCACTGGCTCTGCCCTTCCTGAGCAGCGTCCACTTCCTGGGCCTCCATCTCCAGCTGCATCCCCCTAGTATCTGGGGCTGGGACGGCCCAACCTCCAGCTCAAGTGACAGATGGCCAGTAGGCAAAGCCATGGCTTTCAGGGTCATAGGGGCAGAGCCCTTCAATGCTTGTTAATTCAGCTATGAGCAAGCTTTTGGCATCTGCTTTCTGTTTCGTGGGTGAATGAAGCTAGGACTCATCAAGCTCCAATCAGCTCTCCTCTGTACCTCAGTACTTAGACACCAAACTCTCAGGGTAGAAACATGGTAGGTGTGAGGTGGAGTTTGTGGCACCCCTACCAGGCATCTGACCTTCTGCTAGGAGACTGACATTCACCCATCAGAAACACCACAACCTCTTTCCCACCTTCATCAGTCGGAACGGATCATTTCTGTCCTGCCTTCCCTTGTGCTTTTCTGGATCAGCTGCTCCTGGGCATTTTCCATGTTGCTGTGTTCTGCAGTTAGCTGAGGGCCTGTGTGTTCCTCTCCTCGGCTCAGAAGTTGGGGATTCAAGGTCCTCATGAATCTCTCCTGGCTCCTAAGACAGGTGCTTATATACAGAAAATGCTTGCAAAAGCATGCATAAGGGGAATGTCCACCTCCCTTTTCTTCCACTGAAGCAAGAAGTAGCAATTGGCCTGGCTCCTGTGGGCAGACAGGTTATGTCTGAGTCTGGTGAGACACAGGCAGGAGAACTAGAATGTGGTGGAGTCTTTTCCAACCACGCAGCCTCCAACTCCAGTTGTCTGTGTCTCCAGGTCTGTTTGAGGGACAGCAGTCTGGGCTGGTGCAATGGGGAGCTATAGAAGGATTTCCCCTGCAAGGGCCCTTTGTTCGTTGGCCAGAATTTGCAAGCCAAGCACTGTCTTGTTAACTTTGCTTTCTTTCTTTCTTTCTTTCTTTCTTTCTTTCTTTCTTTCTTTCTTTCTTTCTTTCTTTCTTCCTTCTTTATTTCTTTCTTTCTTTCGTTTTTTTAGTGCAGGGTCTATATGGTCTCACTACATAGATTGAATTTGTAGCAATCCTCCTGTTTTCAGCCTCTCAAGTACTGGGATTATAGGTGTGTGCCATCATGCCCAGTCTCAATCACCATCTCAGCATGTTCCTGGGGTGGGGCCAGCATGGCAGGCTGGGGATAAAACCTCCAAGCCCTGTCTGTGTCTGCCTAAGCAGGTACTTTAATCCACTGAGCTATCTGGCCAGCCCTTGTCTTGTTAGCTTTGACTCAGCCATATGGGGAAAATTTACACCACAGCAATTGCCAAATAATACAAAACTATGGCTTCTTCCACTCAGTGTGCCGGGTGTTATGCTTCAAGCTCACATTCTGGAGGATCATTTCAAAGTTCATTGCTGAGTCCAAGGGGGCATTCTCTGTCCCATTTGGAGAGAGCACATGCCTGGCACCTACCAGACACCTGCCTGACAGGAGTTGCCCCTACAGGGCCAGCAGCCTCTGCGGACCCTTCTTAGCTGGCATCAGTGGTCTCTGGCTCCATATCTCTGCAAGGAGCTCGCCAAGAGAAAAACAAAGGCTCCAGCCTGCTTTGATCTACCCCGGGCAGCTCAGCCCAAGGCCCACAACAAGTGTGTGCTGCCTGACTCCGCAATGGAGCAATTCCGCCAGCAAGCCCACTCCATCTGGGAAGGAAGAAGAGGGCTTGGGGGGCAGGGGGCTCAAGTTCTATGACCCTTTCTTTGTTTGTGGGATCTGCTGCAGAGAAAAGAGACTGGGAGTCCATTCCCGCAGATGGGCAGGTTCATGAGCATACTCTCCTTAGGGCCTGTCCTTGTCATTCTGGTGGAGGTGCCCAGGCCTGCAAGGTATCCAGTACTGCATGCCTCAAATCTCTTCCTGGTAAAGTTGGCTGTAAACACTGAAAATAAGCCAAAGAGGGGCATTTTTTTCTTCCCTTCATTTCTTTGTAGGGCTGAGGATAGAACCCAGGGCCTCACACGTGCTAAGCATATGCCCTATGACTGAGCCACACCCCAGCCCAGGAACATGAGGAACAGAGGGAACTGAGCACCCAGGCATGAGCTCTAAGCCCACGCATGTGTGTTTGTGGGGTTTGTGTGTTGCCTCTCCAGAACTGGGAGAATCTTTCAGGAAAGGAAAGCAGGAGACTTCTGCGGGCTTCCACCAGGAACCAGAACAGAAGCAGCTCAGAGGGCAGCGAGTCTCCAGCCTGAGAAGCTGCAGGAGTGGACTCATCTCCTCAGATCAGAAGGATCTGAGAAGAAGCAGCAGTGAGTGTCTAAAATTAACACTGTCCCTGGAGTACCTGCCTGACAATGTGACCAAAGTCCAACTTAAAAAAAATACCTCTGAAAACTTTAAGGCAACAACTAAGATTATTTTACCTCAAAGGGGAAATAAGTGGCCTTGCCTAACATCTCCAGTCCACTGGGATGATTGAAGTGCGTGCCTTATTACTAACACTCAATTTGCTACCAGGACTCAGGAGAGCAGCACAATGCTCCTTCCAACACTTCTCAGCCTCCTGCTCTGACAGAACCTTCCAGAGCTGAACAATTTGGACTTGAAATGAGAGCTACTCTCTCTGGCTCATCATTCCCCTGCCCCCGAATGTGCCATTGCCCCAAGCTGGAGTCCCTGCCTACTGCCCGCTGGCATGTCCACTGTAAATCACGTCAGTGTACCAGGAACTGCATAATCCCTTCATGTTGTTAAAAATTAAAATAAAATGGCCAGGTATCACTCTGCCTTAGACTCAGCTAGGGGTATAAGAACAGCATGCACTCTACAATCTTTGGTGCACTCAGATTGCAGAAAGCTCTGGAAGAACTGCACCTGCCCTCGGGTCAGGCCTGAGTTCTGGAGAAATCCTGCCAAAGGATGCTGGATGTCCACTCCCAGTCACAGCCCTGTCACAGTCACAGCTCTCTGTCACAGGAGGAGGTTCCTAAGGATCATGTTGCCCTCCACTGTGCAAGTCCCTGACACTTGTGTCCAATTTGTCTCCTCTAGCACATGCTGAGTGACAAACCGTCTACTCTCAGGGGATTTTCACTATCTGGGGTACCTTTCAACTTTCTCTTCTTTTTTCGGTTTTACATTTTCAGAGGTGTTTATCTTCCTCACATACCTAGATGCAAAGTTGGCACCTCCTAGCTAACTTATCACTCTCTGGGACACTTATTGTCACATTTGGAAGGACATTACTGAAGTTTTGGACTCTTGAGTGAAAAATCTTTTATCAAGATAGCTTTCTTTTTAATAATAAATTATTCTTTTTTCCCCATAATTGTATTGATAAACAAATAGCAATAAGACAGTTTCAAATCAAATTGGTAGGACAGCTTCAATAATTAACACACTGCATACATTCTTCCTAGTGGTTAATTGCTGTACAAGATGCAGACATGATATCCTATTTACAAACACCATTAGAACAAACATTCTATTCATTAAGAGAATGTAACTGTATATCTATCCCAACCACTTTGAATACACAGATACAAAATGGACATACATCTGTATACCCTTTTTTT